AGACACACTAAACAATTACAGATTCAACGCAGCAGGGACGGTTCAAGTTGCCAGGGACTTTTTTTCTCCCACATCATTTACTATAATATATAATATAATTTGTGTGTATAATTTACTATAAAATTTTTGTTTTTATATTTCTGGCATGTTTTTCGATGAAATGTGGAGCGTTTTTAATATTTGGAATCTAGGCTGAATTCTCATTTGGTCTCTCATTGCTAAATGTAAGGGGTTTAGAAACAATTTAAAAAGGAAAATATTGCTAGATTGGCTGAAACAAAAAAGTAATGAGATAATATTGTTGCAGGAGACATATTGTATTAATGATATGGAGGAACTGGAATCGAAACAATGGAACGGTAAAATTTATTCTTCCCATGGTTCATCACACAGCTAAGGAGTATGTATTATGATTAGAAATCATTTTTGATTTTAATTTAAATAAGTCAGATGAAGAAGGTAGATTTCTGTGCTCCAATATAATCTTTAAAGGTTTACAAATAATATATTGTAATAGCTATGCACCAAATTAAGCAAATACTCTAGGTGGTTTTTGCAACTATGTTTTCACAAAACTAGGGGAGTGCAACCAAAGTGTTAACTAATATGTGATAGTGGGGAGGGGGGTTTAATATGTGAATGATGTCAGCACTGGCTCGTCACTAGTGTTACTTTTACTGGAAATGTTACTGAATGTTTGAATGCTTAAAATTTAATACATATGGAGAGTAAAACATAGAACTGCAAAACACTATACATGGCGCCAGAAATCCACAATCATACAAAGTCGTTTAGATAATTGGTACATTTCTGATATTCTCCAGATCATCATTTAAAAATGATCTATCAATCATTTCAATCCCGCAGCTGGATGAGTTAACTAACAAATGTGGTCATGAGTTTGCTGAAACTGATGAGAGGTTAATTGCATCAAAAGCTCGGGCAAGGCGTATTATACAAGTTCTACCAACAATTATCTAATCAGACCAATGTGTCTTTGTAAAGGACGTTTTATTGAGGATGTTGTACGAACAGTACTGGATGTCATGCGGTATTCAAAGCAATACAACAGACCTGGAATTTAGTTATCGCTGGATTTTCATAATTCATGTTATTCTATGGATAAAGGATTTAGAGTTGAAGCATTAAAGGCTTTTAATTTTGAAGAATCATTTATTATATGGGTTAAAACCTTTTATAGAAATATCTCCACCTGTGTTATGAACCATGACTACTGGTTATTTCTCGGTCGGCACGGGTATGCGTCAAGGTGACCCCCTATCGCCGTACCTTTTCATTGTAGTCATAGAATTGCAGGCAGTCAATATCCGGAGAAAGCCACTAGTGGCCGGTTATGAATTTTCATATAAAGTTAGAAATGTATGAGGATGGGGATTGCAGTCTAGTAGCAGCTCCATTTCTGCAATATACAATTTTTTAGTATACAAATTAAAATAAAATATTAAAATTAAATCATTAATATTACAAGCAGTGAACATCAAGTGATGCCATAGATAAATGAAGCATTACAATTCACTCACCTCAAAACATAATGGGACAAAACCTATAAATTGCACCTATGGTGCTTTCAGCCTAGCTGCAGCTTCATTTATGCGAAATACCATTCCAGCTAGTAAATCACATCTAGTGCTCAAATTAAAATAAAATATTAAAATTAATTGATCAATATTACAAGCAGTGAACATCAAGTAATGCCTTAGATTAGTGAAGCATTACAATTCACTCACCTCAAAACATAATGGGACAAAACCTATAAATTGTACCCATGGGGTTTGCACTCTAACCGCAGCTTCATTTCTGTGATATACCATTTCCCTGCTAGTACATCTAATGTTGAAATTGAAATTATATATTAAAATTAATTAATTACAATTACAAGTAGTGAACATCAAATGATGCTTTAATTAATGAAGGTATGCAGTTCACTTACCTGAAAACATATTGAGACCGGACTTATAACTTGTACCCATAGTGGTGAAATTAAAATAAAATATTAAATTCATTCATTGCATCTGTTCTATTTTTATAGAAGAAATTTCCCAAATACAAAAATTCTAATATTGAAAGAAATAAGAGGTAGTCACTAAACTATGTACTTTCACACTCAAGCAAGAGAAGAGACATGTTGGTGAACTAGCCTTGCACTATGAGTGTTTTATTGTTTGCACCCTTTAAAATACCAGTTTTTTTTACAAATAAACAATTAAAAAAACAAAGAACTGCAGACCTTACATCTTTATATTTTTGAGTGGACCAGCCAAGTTTCCACAAACAAAAATACTTATAATATTTTATTTTATTTATTTCATTTTATAATATTTTCACTGAATCCTTTAAAATAAATTTACCATATACAAATTAATTTGTTGGACACCATTTCATCTTATTATTTTACAATCCATATTATTTTAGAAGCATAATAATTAAACGACTAGATTTGGTGACACAGTTTGCTCCCAATTCATATTTGGATATTGCCATCAATGATTAACAAAGCTTGTTCAGAATACCATTTATTCCCGACATCATGTTTAGTGGCTAGTTCTCAGGATCCACAACACTAATACATATACAGAAATCATTTTGATGCCATGTTTTTAGAAGACAATGCCATATCAAATTTTCATTTGGATCATGCCATTTCAAGCTGCAGGGTGTCTAAACTATGACACAACAACCAATACACACATCTTCCACCCACCACAAACATGTTAGCCATAATTGAACAACCAAGAAAGCAACAA